GTGGCTGCCCCCATATTGAAGGGGTGCAGGGGAGGGGCCCAGGAGGGACCAGAACAGGAGGAAGGGGAGACGGAGGCCCAGAGTCGCAGAAGCTCAGGAAGAACTACAGGGAGGGCTGGCCTGCGTGTCGCCAGGTCACCACATCAAAGGAGGCGGAGGGCGGGGTCAGGGCTGGAGCCTCCGCCCCTCTGGCCTCCTGGGCTCTGCCCACCTCTGAGCAGGGCGAGGACCAGACAGGGAGCCCATCAAGGGCCAGCGGCTGGTGAAGCCCTGAGGGAGGCAGCCGAGGTGCCGAGGGGACATCTGTGCCCGCGTTTCTGTGGGTACCCACCCCCCTTCCTCTCAGCCAATATAAATTGGTCTCTCATTGATCTAAAGAAGTCAGCAGATTCTACCCCAACCTCCCTCCAGTTTCCTGGATCTGTTCAGTGATGTTCACACCACCTAATCCAGGCCAGTGTGGTCCAGGCTCTGGACTTCAGAGAGAGGAGCTGGGTGTGACGCCTGGAGCTGCTGCAGCCATCTTGTAACAGAAGGGTGCTCCAGCTTGAATAAGTGTCTCACAAAGGCCACTGTGTTAAAGGCTTGATCACCAGATTGTGCTGGGAGATGGTGGAGTCCTTAGAAGTAGGGCTTGTTTCCTTTGCTGTGAAGAAGCTTTTCAGTGGAAGGAAGTGAGGTCATTTCAGTGTGTCCTTGAGGGCGATAATGGAACTCTGGCCCCTCCTCCTCCTCCTTCCTCCTCCTCCTTCTCCTCCTCCTCCTCCTCCTCCTCCTCCTCCCTCTTTTTAATTTTTTAAAATATTTTTTAGTTGTAAATGGATACAATATCTTCTATGTATGTATTTATTTATTTTTTAATGTGATGCTGGGGATCGAACCCAGTGCCTCACACGTGGAAGGGAAGTGCTCCACCCCTGAGCTACCGCCCCAACCCTCTTTTTTTTAAATTTTTTTTATTTGTTCTTCTTAGTTGCACATGGTTAGAGTGTATTTTGACACATCATACATACGTGGGGTACAACTTCCCATTCTGTGGTTGTACATGATGGGAAGTCACACTGATCATCTAGCCATGTATAGACACAGGAAAGTTATGTCCAGTTCATTCTACTGTCTTTCCCATTCCCATCCCCCTTCTCTTCCCCCCACCTCCTCCTGTCCAATCAGGTGAACCTCCACACCTATTGTGAGTCAGCATCCACATATCAGAGAGAACATTCGGCCTTTGGGAATGTTATGGGATTGGCCTATTTCACTTAACGTGATAGTCTCCAGTTCCATCCATTTATCAGCAAATGCCATAAATTTCATTCTTCTTTATGGCTGAGTAATATTCCATTGTGTCTATATACCACATTTTCTTTATCCATTCAGCTGTTGAAGGGCACCTAGGCTGGTTCCATAGCTTTGCTGTTGTGAATTGAGTTGCTATAAACATTGATGTGGCTGCATCACTATAATATGCTGATTTTAAGTCCTTTGGGTATGGGCCAAATAGTGGGATAACTGAGTCGGTAGTCGTTCCAATCCAAGTTTTCTGAGGACTCTCCATACTGCTTTCCATATTGGCTGCACCCATTTGCAGTCCCACCAGCAATGTATGAGTGTGCCTTTCCCCCACATCCTCGCCAGCACTGATTGTTACTTGGATTCTTGGTAATTGCCATTCTGACTGGAGTGACTTGGAATCTCGGTGTAGTTTTAATTTGCATTTCTCTGATTGCTGGTGATGTTACACATTTTCTCATATTTGGTGACTGATGGTATTTCTTCCTCTGTGAGGTGCCTGTTCAGTTCCTTTGCCCATTTATTGACGGGGGAATTTGTTTTTTGGGTGTTAAGTTTTTTGAGTTCTTTGATTAGCCAGGAGATTAGTGCTGATCTGAGGTGCAGGAGGCCAAGTTTTCTCCCATTCTGCAGGCTCTCTCTTCACGTTCTTGATTGTTTCCTTTGCTGTGAAGAAGCGTTTCAGTGTGATACCCTCCCATTTGTTGATTCTGGGTTGTCTTTGTGCAGTGGGTGTCTTGCGGTCTCTATTCCTTGGCTGTCAGGAGGTGAGCAGCCTCTGCTACATTCTGCCTGCCACCTCACCACAGGCTCAAAGGCAACGAGGCCAAGCAATCATGGACTGAGACCTCTGACACCCCAAGCTAAAATAAACCTTTATGCTTTATCAGTTGATGGTCTCGGGCGTTTCGTCACAGTGATGGAGAGCTGACTATCACAAGGGCAAACCCCTGTGAGAACGGAAACACGCAGTTCGGGAAGTGAGCTGAGCTGAGCCACACAGAGCTGGATGTCCCTGTGCAACCAGCTCCTCCTCGGGCTGCACCCGAAACCAGCAGTGCCCCCAGTGTCACGTTAACAAGCAGCAGATCCCTTCCCCGCCTCACTAGTTGCCTCCCTTGGTTGGCTTTTCTGACATCACTAAAAGCAAAATGGCTCAGTCACCTGTGGCTGCCATCAAGCTGTGTAGCAAACCACCCACAGCTCTGCGGCTTCGCGTGAGCTTGGGAGACTGGATCGTGGTGCAGCCGGGCGCACACACAGGGGACGCTGGGCAAGCAGGTGGCCCCTTGAAGCCACCGTGGCAGGGCTTTGTGTCACTCTTGGTGCTTTCCCTCTGGATGCCCCGAGCACCCAGAGGAAGTGTTTGAAGGTGGCTTGTGACGCTGCTGCAGGGTCAGGCTGCGTCTGCAATCGCCACGGAGGGTCAGGGTGGCGGGCGAAGCGGGCACGGGAGAGCAGCCGGTTTTCCAGACTGTCCTCCAGTTGGAGCCTGTGTGACATGTCCTCGGGATGAGATTCAGGTGACAATTTCGGCAGCAGGCCTCTTTCTCAGAGCCTCATCTCAGTGGGTCTGTGGGGCCTGGAGTCCCTTCTATGGTGGTGATCAGAGACGGGTGACGGGCTCGTTCCTCTGTTATTTCTTCCTTTGTCACCTTCCCAGGACCACGTGGGCAAGTGTGTCCTGTGGCTACTGTCCACCTGCTACCGGACAGCAGAGCCCCTCTGCGGAGCCCAGTCTGGACCCTACAACTGTGAGTAAATACATTGCTGTTTGAATCTACTCAGACTCCGGTGGTTTGTTTTCCAACAATAAATATTTGAGCCGGTGCCTGTAATCCCAGTGGCTCAGGAGGCTGAGGCAGGAGGATCGTGACTTCCGAGCCAGCCTCAGCAACAGTGAGGCTCCAAGCAGCTAAGTGAGACCCTGTCTCTAAATAAAATACAAAATAGGGCTGGGATGTGGCTCAGTGGCCGAGTGCCCCTGAGTTCAATCCCTGGCACCACCAACCCAAATAAATAAATGTTCGAGAAACTAAAAGTATTTTTTTTTCTTTTTAATTTAAGGGGATCTATTTTCTGCTCTGAGTCTGAGAATTCACTAGAAGATCAAGTGAGGGACCAAGGGTGCTGGCCGGGGCTGGCCCTGGGCAGGGCTGTCCTCCCCCCTAGCCTTTAGCCAGAGGCCAGCGGGTGCTTCCTGACTTGGGGTGACAGGAGGGGCTCCTGGCGGGCCTCAGGGATAGACTCTCAGGACCTCAGTGTTTCCCTGCCCACCACTCACTCAGACCTGGCCAGAAATGGCCCTTCAGCATGGACCTACTGTCCCCACTGGCCTGGTGTCCCACCAGGTGAGGTTTCACAGGTCGCTAAGCAGGCCCTGTCCGAGCACTGAAACACCATGGGCCATCTTTAGAGACAAGGGACCCAGTCGGGAGGAGAATGTGCACCCCCAGGGCAGGGCCTCCCAGCGCCTGCACACCTACCTTCTGGCCAGGAGGAGGCCTTTAAGCCTGTTCAGTGCTCGGCTTCCTGGCTCTGCTAACGTTGCGCCAGCCCTCACACCACCGTTCTGAGCCAGTGCTTACCTGTGCTCCCTGACGACTGACCGTGATCCCTCTCTGGGTCCCCTGACCTGGCGCCCTGCCGGGCCTGTCAGGAGCTTGGATGGTCTCGGAACATGAGCACCACCTCGGGCCCCCTCCTCTCCCTGGCCTCTTCCCCAGCTTCCTCCCCCACCCTGCGCGCAGCTGCGGATGGAGGGAGGCCCAGCTTGTGAAGTGGGGCAGACCCCCTCAGCCATGCACACACCTAGGGCGTCGGTGTCTACGCCTCACCTTCCACATCTGTGCATTTAGCCCGGAGTTTGACACAAAATAGGCAACTAATAAATAATGCCCGCAAATACTGGCGATGGTGGTGGCGGTGGATTCACCCAGGACATGACTTAGAAGTTGTAAACTTGATCTAAAGGACATGGCTCCCCATCGCCCCCTTCTGGCTGAATAGAGGTGTCCACATCGTTTCCTTTATCAGGGGGAATTGGCCCCGCCGCCTGCGCCCCAGGGAGTCAGAGCTTAGCCTTGTTAAACTGCCTGGCACCTGATGAGTGCTCGGGAGACCGGAGTCCCTGTTCAGGCCACCAACCCGACACCACTGCTCCACCCTCTGGGCCTGCCTGCTAAGCCAGAGGCTGCAGAACTGCCCCACAAGGAACCCAGGTTGGGCTCAGAGAGTGTCTGTTCCCACCGCCGGGACTCTCCTAGAACACACCAGGGTCCCCCAGGACAAATGCCAGTGTCCACTCTGGAAAGAGGCCTCCAGGAAGGTCCCCACACTCCAAGGCCACAGGTACTGTCACAGCACAAGTCCAAGGCCAGCTCTCTGGAGAGAAGACGGATGCTGTCCTCCCCAGGGGCCGGCAGACCAGGGGCTGGACTGGCCACTTCCTCCTGCTGGACCTTGAACTGGCGTCTTCCTTTGCTGAGCCTGTGTCCACCTGCCTGAGGGAAGAGGCGCCCCAGGATGGAGGGTGGCCATTTCCCTGAGTGAAGGCCTGGCCCCTTGTCCCCGTGGCCATCTAGCCCTCAGGGAGACCTCATACCCCACTGACCATACCTGGTGGCAAGACCAGAGCCACCACCAGCACACCTCTGCCTCCCACCCCACCCCTGCCTCCCACCCTCCACGCGCACACACACACAAACACCTTCAGACTTCGCAGCTGTTTTTATTAATAATATTATCTTCTCCTTTAAGCATCCCTTTAAGGGTGAAATGAAATTCAACCATTTACAGAGAAAATGATTTCAGAATGTACATATTGATTTTCCTTTACAAAAAAAATAATACTATTATTATTCTTGGTGTCCTTAAATTACACATTTCCCAGGGTCCTGCCTTCTGCCTGGGCAAGTCCTGTGTCCCCACTCAGAATCTCACCTTTGCCCTAAAGCTCTCCCGCACCTGTCCCTAGAACCCTGTGACCCCCAGGTGGACGAGGCCTGCTGGATGCTGACACAGACAGCCCACCCCAGTCTGGAGGTCAGGGGCCAGTGGTTGCTGGGAAGAGATCTGGATATGGTGACAGGGCAGTGGTGTCCTGCGGTTCACATGGTTTGGTTTTCTTTCATATTGGGGAACAGCCCTGGGGATCCCCTGCCCCCCCAATTCCCAGTGTATGCTGTGGTCATATGTGGAACTCTCACCCCACGTCCTGGCCCTGGCTCTCACGGCTGCCCTCTGCACCCAAGGCCTGGTCTCCACTTCTGGCCGAGCGTGCCCTCCACATGGTGGGAGAAGCGAGGAGGACCACACGGGCCTGAGTTTCTCCTGTTCTTCCCCGAGTCCAGGCCGTGCCTGGGGCCAGGGGCCGCAGCTGCCCTGGGAGGGCCATCCCTGAAGCAGCTGAGCAGGGCTGGGGGGCCAGGAAGCCATCAGGAGGGAGGCCCTGGGCTGAGGCTCAGGAATGATGCAGAAGCCCCCAGAGACCGCCTGTCACAGGGCCAGCAGAGGTGGCCCCTGCCTCAACCGAAGCCTGACTTCTAGAGCCAAGACTCAGCCCCAAGAGGAACCAAGGAGAGAGGTTCTATGACTTCAAAGGAGGGGTTCCCTCGGGGGTGTCCACTAGACGGAGGCAGAGAGGAGCCATGGAGCCCTCTCAGCCTGCTCCATGCCTGCCCCGAGCTGCTGAGGCCAGCTCCCTCACCATGTCTACACCTGGCACGTCCCCAGACAGAGCAGTGGCAGCAGAGACCCCTGTTCTCCCAGCCCATCAGGAACCCTCCAGTAAGACTCCCCCCAAAACCCACCGGGTGTGGGGATCAGGAGGCACAGTGGGGCCAGAGAGGCTGAGGGGTAGAGGGCTCGCAGCTTTCGGCCCTCAGACCGGGACAATTCTCATTCCTCAGACTGACAGACAGACAGACAGACACCCTGCATCCCCTTCAGATTTGTTTTCTGGGCTCTCCATGGGCTTTCTGCCTCGGTCATCTGGGGGAGCCATGGGAAGTGTGGCCACAGGCTCCAGGTCCAGGACCGGGACTCCCACTCCTACACACAAGCACCTACATACGGGGACCGTCGATACAGACGTGGACAATACACACCAGCATGCACCCATGCCCGTAAATACACACGCACACACAACACGGCCCATTCCACAGGCAGCCTCTGCACACGGGCATCACCAGAACGGCTGAGGGGGGTCAGGGGTGGGGGGCGTGCCGCCCTCCCCCGACCTGCAAGCTCTTGCCGTACCCTAGCCCTGTGCGGACAGGAGAGTGGGAACGGTTCATTCTAGAAGCTCTGGACAACGGAGAGCCCCTTCCCCACATCCATCCTAAGAGCCTCTTCTCCCAAGTCGAGGCCGGGCACCAGGAGCCCAGAGATTACATACCCCAGTCTCCACGCTGTGGCCAATGAGATGCCATGAAAATGACTGGATTCCTGGCTCCTGTCCTTAATGGGAAAAGTGCCTTTCCCAGCCCCCTGATAGGGGGCTCCAGAGCAGCCCTGTATCCAGACTTGGAAGGTGTGGCTGAAGGAAGCAGAGCCGCCCTCTGGCCTCAACCATCTCCCTGTGGACAATGAACCACCCACGAGCTTGTCTTGCTTGAATTTCAGTCTCTTTACTTACAACAGCTTTAGAACCTACTCCAACAAACACCTTCCCTCTCCCAAGGCAAACTAAGAGGAACGGGTTGACATATAACTGGCCTTAATGTCCCTTTTGGGCCCAGAAGAGCCTCATGGCCCCTTCCTGGACCCTAATCAGCCCTAAGGAGGGGCACAAGAGTGACTGCCCCTGGGACGGAGGCAGGCTGGGGCCACGGGTGTGTGGAGGGAGAGGCCTCATGTGGGTCTCCCCTCTCTGGGACCCTCTACTAAGCTCCCCATCCCCCTGGCCCCTGCTCTCATCCCACCTGAGAACTGGACTGCGGCTCCCTGCGAGGCAGCCCACGGGCAGCAATATGAAAGGCAAGAGGGACCGTCAAGGCCAGGGGCCCAGCCTACCTCCGCGGGGAGGGGGCAGGCAGCGGGAGGCCTCAAATCCCTCCGGCCTAGAACTCCAAGGACACTGTGAAGCCCCCTTAGTGCTCCTCTCAGCTCCATGCCATGCTCCCTGCCCTCCCACTGGGTACCCCCTCTTGCTCCTGGACCCAAACGCACTTATTTACAGAGCCCAAGGCCTCCTGGGATGTCCTGATCTCACTGCAGGTCCCAGGCCCCAGGAGGCCCAAGGCCGTCTTCTCTCCCCCAGGCTGCAGCCCCCACGTGGCTGCCTGGTGAGTCCCTGCAGGCTCCCTTCCGTGCCACCTGCTGCACTCTCCAGTAGCACCTCCTGGCCACCGCCCTCTTGGCAGCAGAAGGACTGCGGAGTTGTCTGGCTTGCTCCCGTGTCCTGGCAGGAAGGATTTCCTTTTTCTTCTTTTTTGAGCTTAGAGACCTGATCTTGACGCACAAGGACTTGCACAGGGAAGATCACCCACCTACTCCTGGTCCTCCCAAGAAGCCCCAAGCCGGCAGGAGGCCAGAACTCTGGGGGTAGCCACCACCCCTCACTGCCATCTGCCTATGCGACCGCGCAGCCCTAGCCTTCCACCACGTCCGATTGGCCCCTGGCGCCGGGTGGCCTTCCCTCGCGGGGGCCCTTGCTCCGCGCGCCTTCCTCCGTGCTCTTGGGCTCCTGGTAGGGGTTGTCGAGCAGGTAGCGGAACTGGTCGTAGTTCTTGAGCAGGTACTTGGGGGCATACATGTGCTCGCTGGGGTCGGCGGGCGGGTACTCCTGCTGCGTGCCGTCAAACCAGCCGCCGGTGCGGATCAAGCTCCGGATGTAATTGAGGTCCCGCTTGTCCTCGTAGTCACCCCAGCGGGGGAAGTCGCCGTTCTGGGCGGACACGAGCTTGAAGTAGATGCCCTCGGGCGTGAAGCACCAGGAGCAGTGCCAGCCGGCGAAGTGCAGGGGGCTGCCCAGCGACCACTGCACCAGGATGTGGCCCGTGCGGTTCTCGTACTGGCGGAAGTTGGGCATGGTGTAGTACTGGCGGCGGCGCAGGCGGATGCCGTCCAGCCCGTACACGGCCTGCAGCATGTCCACCGTGCAGCCCGACACCACCTCCAGGGTGCCCGGCTGCTTCCAGAAGAAGCCGTAGAGCGACTTGCGCATGTGGAAGGCGAAGGGCTCCGTCCAGCCGTCGTAGAGCTTGAGGAAGAGGACGCCGTCGCGCGCCGGGATCTCGTCGGCGTCGTCGATGATGAAGACGTCGTCGGGCCGCAGGTTGCGCAGGCGCGAGACGCCGTCCTGCGTGAGGAAGGTGCGCAGGTAGTCGTCGGCGATCCAGCCGTCCTGCCGGCCGCCGGGCGGGAAGTGGTCCAGGAAGACGTAGAGCACCTTGTGGCGGATGTACTCGAAGGTGCCGTTGGTCAGCATCTCGCGGAACTTGAGCGGCCGCGGCTCCCCGTAGGCCGTGAAGTTGGACTCGCACACCACGAAGGCGTCCACCACGTCGCCCAGCTCGTGGAAGCGCACGTCCAGCAGGTCGAACTCGTGGTTGATGTTGATGGCGTTGATGACCCGCCGCGGCACCTCCCTGGGCACCAGCCGCTCCTTGGTGGGCAGGTTGGAGTACTGCACCACCGTGGGCACCCCGCAGCTGGGCCCGTGCCAGCCGGGCAGGCACACGCACTCCACCCACTTGCGCCGCGCGCCCTGCCTGCTGGCGCGCTCCCGGGCCGTCAGCGTGTGCCGGGGAGGGCGCCGCGGGCCCCGGGTGGAGGGGCCGTACGCCCCCTCGGGCTTCTCCTCGGGCCGCCCTGAGGGTGGCTTATCCAGCATTTTGGTCCCTGGCTTAAAGCACACGCCCCCCGCTTTGGTGCGCACAAAATACTCGGTGGTGTCCTCAGGCAGCACAAAATCCACCCGGTGGAGTTCCTCGGTGGCCTTGCTGGGGGACAAAGGCTGGAGCAGAGGCGAGTGGGAGTAGAGTGGGGTTCGCAGCAGGTCCGGGCCACCTGGCTCAGGGCTGGCCTGAGGTGTAACGGGGGCATTGTTCCAGAAGAAGCTGGACACGAGGTTAGGGCTGAGAGAGGCCAGTTCTCGGGGAAAGGTGACATAGGACAGGGTCTTAAAGAAGTGCAAGAAGGAGATGAGGCACAGGCCGGCCATACAGAACATGAAAAAGAGCTTGTAGCGTCTCATCTTCATCCTGCGAAAAAAGGAGAGAGTGGACCGTCAGGGGCAGCCTGGGGCGCTTCTCCTAGGGAGGACAGGTGAGGGCAGGGTGGAGGGGGAGCCTTTACTATTGGCACCATGTTTGAGACCGTCCTGCATAGAGTCACCCACCTCCTGCCCCCTAAGGGTCCACCAGCAGCACCAAAGCCCCTGGAAGTCCCAGGGTCAAGGAAACTGCCCCTTGCTCCCACAGCCCTTGTCCGCAGAGATCCCAAGCCACCAGGGCTACCCCTCAGCCGGCTGCTTCTCCGCCTGGCCCACCCTGACTGGACCAACTGCAGGGCTAGGATTTGCTCCAGAAGCAATGTGCAACCTGGAAACGCTCCATGGAAATGCTGTACTGCCCCAGGGGAGGCGCCAGCAGGCTAACCCTACCCACTAGGGTCCCATCCTGCACTGCAGAGGGTGGGGGCTGTTCCCTATCTATTCATCCGAGATAGGACAGAGACCCTCACCCTGGAGACCCTTTTCATAATTAAGCAGAAACCCCCACCATTTCTGTAATATATAAGTTCCTCTGAGCCTTGTCAGAAAGTTTTTGCACAAGGTATCAGCTATCAGCAAAATCTTGTGCAGAGGGCATTGTGGTTTGGACCTTCCTCTGTTTGTAAATGCCAAGTTTGCAGGAAAAAAATTACTTTTATGTAGACTTCTTTAAAAATGTAAAACACTGGGGCTGGGGATGTGGCTCAAGTGGTAGCGCGCTCGCCTAGCATGCGTGGGGCCCGGGTTCGATCCTCAGCACCACATACAAACAAAGATGTTGTGTCTGCCAAATGCTAAAAAATAAATATTATAAAAAAAAAATGTAAAACACTAAGCCCCCTGGCCACACACACCCCCACTTCTCCCCGCCACCCCGCTGCCACTAGGTATAAAGTTCAAAGAATTTCTAGACTCACGGTCCAGAGGAGGATTTCAGACACAAGCCACACTCTGGACTGGCCGGTGCAGCCAATAGACTGCCTCTCTGTCCTACCTCATTTGGCAATTCCAGATGGGACAGTGGAGCCAAAGATGGCTTTTCCACCTCTCCAGGGTCTGGCTTTCCCTGGACTTTGGAGGACAATGCTTCCCTTTGGTGCACCACAGCGACTCTGCCTGTGGGGGAGGCACTGGGTGCCCTGGAGCAGCCACCCTGAAGCATAATGAAACCCGCGAGGAGCAGGCACCAGGACTAGGGAACTTGGAGCACCGCAGGACTGAACAGGTAGGACCGGCTCCTTTAGTGGTAGCCCATCTGACTTCCCCCTGGAGGCCTGAGCAGGTGGAAGAGAGGCTGATCACCTCTGAGGCCCTGAGTAACCTGCCAGCATTCAGGGTAAGGGAATTGGTCAGGGTGTCTAGGGGTCCTGTCAACTATTAAGAAGACCCAGGGAGTTGCCCAAGTAGTCTCTGTTGGGGGTCAGTGAGTGTAGGGGAGGCCATGACTCCCTTCTTTGGTTTTGGAATTGTGCAGCTGGGATGGTACAGAAATTTTGCTCTGATCATGTCTGTGTGCAAGTGTGTGAATGAGAGGGACAAAGGAAGGTTCCGACCTGACCCAAGGGCCCAAGTGACTGCAGTGTCCCCATCCGTGGTTCCGTGGTACCTCAGTCTGAGGCAGATTCCACCAACCCACGTCTAGGGGGAAGCTCCAGGTAGGGGGTTGATACCCACCCATAAAGCTAAGAGGACTCTAAGTCCCCAAGAGGGGATCAGCCAGAGACACACAAAGTGAGTCTTGTCCTAATGTGAGACAGCACGCAGGGTAGAATTGGGAGGCACACAAAGGAAACTGGGTCTTTTGAAATGTATGTTAGCAAACTATAAGAAAAGTTCTGAATGGTAAGTGTGGGGCGAAGCTCACTCCACAAAGGTTATATACTTTGTGAATTAGAATGGCCCACCCTTGAAGTGGAATGGCCACCAGAAGGATCTTTAGATAAAAGTGTTCTTGGTGAGGTCCGTTTAATAGTTGACAGAACCCTTAGTCATGAGACCAGTTCCCTTACACTGAATGCTGACAAGAGACAGTGCAGAAACAGTCCCTTTGGCTGAGAGCCTGTCTGGAAGGACGGTCTAAGTTGGTATCAGCCCGGGCTATAATGGCCTCTAGGACTCAACAGAAGGGAACTAAACAGGAAAATCCTGACAAAGAAAAGACAGAAAGGAAACTAGTTTTTTCCATGAGCCACAAGAGAACCCACCACCTTATGTGCCATTGTACCCGACATTGCCAAGTCCACTGAGACAGCAGACTGTCCCCTCAGCCCCCTTGTCCCCAGAGGCAACAGACAACGGTCCTCAACACTGGCTACTCCATCCTCCTTCAATGTCCTCAGTGCCAGAGGCTTCCTCAGAGCCAGACTCCTCCACCCCGAGACCAAGGCAGAAAACTTGTCCCAAGACCAGAGCCATAACTCAGGTGAGTGCTCTCCCGATGCCCCTGCGAGAGAGTAGAGGACTTACTTATGTTAACCAGGAGGGAAACGTCTGAGGGGGGACAATGTAGTTTTGCAGCCAGCCTTTCACCACCATTGATCTCTTGAACTGGAAAAATCATACTCCCTCTTACATGGAGAAGCCTTGGGCCCTGGTTGATCTGAGGTGATCCAGTACCCAGACCCACCTGCCCACCTGGGTTGAGGACAGAGCACAGACAGTGGCCCAGCAGCTTGCAAGTGGCTAGGGGCACACGCTCCGGACGCACAAGGCAACATTCAGTCCTATGCCCAGGCCCAGCGCCCCAACAGAGACCCAGGGTGGGACCCCAGAAAGAGTAAGAGCACCTAAAGATAAAGAGATATCAAGAGGCCCTTGTGGGCAGCCTAAAGGAAGGGGAAATGAGAGCCCTAACCATGAACAAGCTATCAGGAGTGCTCCAAAGCCTGGGGAGAGCCCCAGCCAGTTCTAGGAACGACTGTGCAAGACCCTCCAACCCTCCCTTCCTTTGACCCTGAGGCACCAGACGGCCAGCGAGTAAAACCAGCCCACAGAGATACTCCCCGAAAACGCCAAAAACTTTGCTAAAAAAAAAAAAAAAAAAAAATTCCAATGAGCTGATGAAGTAGCCACCACAATTTTCATAACTGAGACCAAGAAGATGGGTCTCCTTGCAGATGCCCTCACCACAAACCCAGAAGTCACCCCAAGGGAGGGGTCCCACCAGGACAACGCCAAGATATTCCCAGCATGGAGGTGACTGGTTTAAGACTGGAAAAGGAAGGTGTCTCCCAGGCGGATGGTGGAGGTTTTCTGATGGCCGCTTGGCCATCCCTGAGACTCCGGCCCCTGCCTTCATCAGGCGGGTCCAGGGGGAGCACACATGGGCCAAACAGCATTCAGACTGTCCTGAGTCAGCATTCCTACATCCCTGGCTCTCGAGCACTTCCCAGGTGACGTGGGAACAGTGCAAAACTTGTGCCCGCAACAACCCCCCCCAGGGGCCAAGGCTCCCACCAGGAATCCAAGCTACAGGAGAAAGCACCTTTTGAGGACTTGGGAGTGGACTTCACTGAACTGCCACGCTCACAGGGTTAGAAATATCTTTTTTTTTTTTTTTTTTGGTATTGGAGATTGAACTCAAGGGCACTCGACCACTGAGCCACTTCCCCAGCACAATTTTTTGTATTTTATTTAGAGACAGGTCTCACTGAGTGGCTTGGCACCATGCTAAATTGCCGAGGCTGATTCTCCTACCCCACTTCCCTTCGCCTCCTGAGCCCCTGGAATTACAGGTATGTACCACTGTGCCTGGCTGCATGTTCTTTTGTTTTGTTTGTTTGTTTTGTTTTTGGTGCTGGGGATCGAACCCAGGGCCTTGTGCATGAAAGACAATCACTCTACCCACTGAGCTATATCCCCAGCCCTGTATGTTCTTCATCTGGCTGGTGCAAGCCTTTCCAGCCCACACTGAGGGGCGCTCCTCCAGAAAATTATTCCTAGATCTGGTATCCCCATAACCATTGGCTCAGATGACGGGCCAACTTTTGCGGCAGAGGTCATATGATTATTGGCCAAGAGTTGAAATATCAGATGAAAGTTACATACTCCCTTCAGACCACAGAGTTCTGGTAAAGTAGAAAGAATGGATTGGACTTTAAAGGCTCAAACTGTATCTGGAAGTTCACCTGCATTGGGATGAAATCCTCCCCATTGCTCCATTACAGATTAGATCACTCCCATCAAGAGGACTGGATGCTCTCCCTATGAGCTAGTGCATGGAGGACCCCCACTAATCAGGGGGTTACAGGGGACTTAAGGGAAATAGGAGAATTAACATTGAGGCAACAGCTTCAGGCTTTAGGGGAACCTTACAGACTCCCAACCAGTGGGTCAGAGAGATTGCCAGTCAGTCTGGCCGCAGCTGCACCCTCCCTCGGGCCTAAGAATGGAATAGTCAGCCCCTAAAACCTCTTTGGAAGGGTCCTGTCACTGTTATTTTGTGTACCCCAACTGCAGGAAAAGTTCAGAGATGTGTCCCTGGATTCATTACACCAGGCTCAAGCCTGGGGGTGAACTCCAGACCCCGCTGCACCCCTGAAACTGACCAGCTAGCGGAAGGAAACACCAGAGAAGACTGAGGGTCAGAAGGACGACAGCCCTCCTCTGGTTACTCGGGAAGCTCACTAACCTGCGCATGGCCCAAGCTTGAGGAGACCACAGCCCTGCTTCAGCCACCCAGGGCCTGGCTGATCAAGAGAATCTTCCCACCAGGACAAACAGACTCGGTTCATCCTCTAAGACAGTCCTCCTACTGTAATGCATTGCCACCCACCTCCAGCCATATATGTAGTTCCCCGCTTGGTTTTGCTACAGATTTGATAACAGTGACTCCAACTGACTGGACCCTTGGTAACAAAATTTCCCATATGTATGAATCTTGCTTATCAGGTTATCAGGTTTTCTAGGGTTTGTTTGGTGTTATTAATTTGACATTGTTAACTTATACTGTTTAACCTATATGTTGGTCTATCACTTAATTTGGTTTCC